GCTGCTGAAGATCTTTCTCTCTCTGCTGGATTCTCTGCTGGAACTCCCTCTGCAACTGGTGCTGGAGGACAAATGAATGATACTAAATGTCACATAAAACTACTGTCTGTGAACAGTTGAATCCAGTAAAAGTGGATCTGATAATGGCTGCAGGTTCAAATATAACGGTGAAACTGACACAGACGTAGAGCTTTACTCAGACAGTGTTTATACTGTGTAACAGAGCTGTGGCTCCACACAGAAAATAAATGAACTATTGGATCATTACAGTATTTCTGTTAATAACTGCCACTGGTTTTCATTCTGAGTCAGTCACTGACAAATATTACAACCTTTTTTGTCATAAAATCTGATTTACATTAGAAGGGGCTTCAGATTTTCATCCAAATGATAATTAATCTACACAGAACAGAAGCCGAAGTGAAGCTATAAATGACTGTAATTGTCTGTCACTGCATTTATCTTGTATTTTGACTGATGGAAGTATATATTTTGTCAAACAATGGGTGAATAGTTTATTACATTATCTTATGATGCTTAATCAAAGCCTGTTTCACAAAAGAATGTGATGTGTTAATAAAGGTTTATGTACAGTGTGAATGCTGTAACCTGTTAACATGGGTGCCAATATAAATAGATATTAAATGGGTCCAAGTGTCAGCAATATTTAATTAGTGCCTAGTTTAAATACCTGTTTCTCTATCCTCTGTTCCGCAGCCGATACAGTGTCATGGTTTTTATGTTCATCCAAACACAGCACACATATGCATTTCTGGTCAGTGCGACAGAAAAGCTCAAGGAGCTTCTCATGTTTCCGACAGATCATCTCCTGCAGTCGTCCAGTGGCATCAGTAACTCTGTGTCCCTTCCCTTTAAACAAACTTTCATGTTGTTCAAGGTGATTCTGACAGTAAGAGTTCAGACACTCAAGACAGGACTTGACGGCTTTGTATTTTCTTCCAGGACAGACATCACACTGCACATCTCCAGCTCCAGCGTAACAGTCAGCAGAAAGTTGAGTCTTCTTCAGTTTCTCCACCACTTCAACCACCATGGTGTATTTACCTAAAGCAGGTCTTGGACTGAAGGTCTGTATGCACCGAGGGCAGCTGTAGACTTTCTTCTGATCCTCCTGATCCCAGTGGCCTGTAATACAGCTCTTACAGAAACGGTGTCCACAGGGAATAACCACTGGATCATTCAGGATTAGTTCAGGATCCTTCATACACAATGGACATGTGAACTCATCCTGATCCACTGAAATTCTGGCTTCTGCCATTTTACTGCATGAATACAGAGAATCAGACACGCAACAGCTCAAATACACTTCAGTTTCTTTTTCCCTGAACTGATGAGTTGAAATAGTTCCCTGGATTTGTGTTCGTGTGACGTGTGTAAAACAGGTTTGTCTCGAAGTCTGTATAGCAGGTTCAAATTTCCTGCTCCTGTAGAGCCAGAATCATTCTGAGTTTAGTTGCAACACATTTGGCTGTTATTAACGGAGGTGGGGGCAAGTCACACATGTTCAAGTCTCAAGCAAGTCTCA